CACGTCCTCTCAGTCCCGAATGAGACTAAGGTTATTATCGGCGTTGATGCTAACGCCCACCTCGGTTCGGTCGCTGACTCCGATCTCTTTGCTGAGCGTATAGGTCCCTATACTCGTTCTCCTGGTGAACCCCCTGTTCTGGATAAGTTAGCTTGGAAGGCCAAGGAGTTATTCATTACCATGTGCGATCTAGATCTTCGGGCGGAAAATACATACCATTGGTGTGAGTACGGTGTTCACACACATATTCCTGATCCTGGACAGCGTAGAGACCCCAAGCAGATAGACTACGTTCTCACACGACACTTCCCTACGGGCACGGTCAGTTGTACGGTAGATTTCTCTACTGCTACCACCTCTGATCATCTCCCCCTACATCTACGTCTGCGGGTGCGCGATCCTAGCAGTAACTGGGCTCTGACAGCGGCTTCCCCTCCTCCGCCTCCCAAACCAATAAACTGGACTTGTTCGGATATCACGGCTTATCGAAACGCTCTCGACGACGCCCTCGAGGTCGATCGTACTGTACACTGTTTCTTTCGGGACGACGAGGCTTTCGGACTCTTCCTGGATGGCTCTTTCTACGACACACTACCTAGGTATCGGAAGCGTGCGCGTGACCACCTCCGAGGATGTGCTGGTTGGGGCTTTGCACTTTTTTCCTCGTCGTTTCCGACGGCAGGCTCCTCTCCTTTAGCCTCAGCATGTGGACCAGTATGCATTGGCCCTGAAGACCCACTCTTTGTGGGAGCGTGTAGAGAGTCGAACAACACGGCAGAGTTGACGGCACCCATTGAGGCCTTTCTGTGGTTGATTTTCCAGGACTCCCTCCCCGACAACGTCAGGACGATCCCCCCTCAGGCCAAAATCAAGATGATCTTCGACTCTCGATATTGCCAACAGATAATCTGGGGACGATGGCGGCCTCGATTTAATTTGAATCTGGTGTCCGTCATGCTGGCGCTGTGGCAGGACGTTTGCAGGCGCTATCAGGTGTGCTTGCCAGAGTGGCGCAAAGGTCACTCTCAAGATAGAGGAAACACGGCGGTCGACCTACTGGCCAAGGAAGGAGCGGACCCTCGGTCCAACCACCCCGCCCGAATCAGTGTGCGACATTACACGCCTTCCTACTGGCCGCGAGAACCCTGGAGCAAGCTGACGGATTCCTGGACGCCGCCTCCTGGGGAAGAATCGACCTGGAAAATTCCTCCGTGTTTCGCTCGTCGGCTGGAGGCCGACCCTACCCCGCCCCCCGCCTGCCTCCCCCTCCGCAAGAGACCCCGCCACCGTCGGTCCGAACACGCCACCTCTCCGCTCCCTGCCCCCGCCCCCGCGACGCCCCCACTGGAGCCCGATGAGGAACCTTTCAGACCCTGTACGGATGCCCATGGACGCCCCCTTCCCTCGTTACGCTTTCTGGCTGACGCCATTTCGACCGCCGCCGCCGATCACGGACATCGACGCAACCGGAGACCCCCCCCAAGCCAGAGAAAGAAGAAGACGAAATCACCCGTGCCCACCTCGAGGCCGTCAGATCTCTCCGACGAGCTGCCACGACGCAGCAGCTTCGACACTTTTACTGCACGGCTGAGTCTATGATCCGCCGCCAGCTGCAGCAGACTAAGTTCGCGTACGAGTGCGACTGGCTTCTCTCCAAAGGTCGCGCAGACCGAAGTGTCCCGCCACCGACCTGGCAGGGGGCCATGTTTAACGAGCAAGGCGTCCTGACGACGGACCCCCAGGAGATCTTAGACCTTGCCGAGTCCTTCTTCGGAGATTTGCATAGGTCCAAAAACGTCATGCAGCTCCCTGATTGGATCCAGAAACGCTGGGACCGTTCGGCCCTCGAGGGCCTCGTCCAACTTTCTGGCGCTCGAGTTCGGCAAGTTTTCCTTCGTATGAAACGTGGTAAGTCATGCCCCCGAAGTGAGTTACTCGTCGTCGAAATGTTCCTGGACGCCCCGGATGATTTCTTCGAGATCCTCGCCTCTCTCTTCGAACTTAGACTCCTGAATGACCCATCGATGGACGAGCCCTGTGGCTGGGACGAGCGCGATGTTCATCTTATCGAGAAAATGACCAATCCATTGCACATTAAGAAATGGCGCCCCATTGCAGTCCTCTCGGTGCTATGGAAGGCTTATGTGCAGATACTGTCCGAGCTAGGCCGCATTGCAGATCGACCACTGTCGCCGAACCAGTTTGCCTTTCGCCCTGCGCACCAGACGGCCGAGGTCATTTTTATTGTTCGCCTCCTGGTTGAGAAAGCTATCGAATTTCGGATACCATTGCATATTGTTTCTGGGGATATATATAAATGTTATGACTGTGATGACCATGGTGTCTGGTGCCACGCTTTCAAGCTCGCCTCGGTGCCCGATGTCATTACCGCCGCCATGATCCGCGAAGTTAGACGCGGACGAGGCCGTCTCGTGCTTCCTCGCCTGCCTCCGTCGCAGCCGATATCTCGGACTCGATCGATATATCAGGGCGATCCAGACGGCCCTCGCAAGTGTAACATCATTATGGAACATACTCTCATTCGTCCCTTCCTCTCCATTTGCAAGTCCAAGGGCTGGGGCTACCCTATGGATTTTGAAGACGCACGCCCGCTGGGCTTCGAGTATTATGCGTACACCAGGAGGGGCGAGGATTCGCAGCAGATTCGAAGAGTCCCGCTACTCATCTTCGCCGACAACTTTTGGCTGCTAGGTCTCACGCCGTCGATGGTGACCCTCATGACTGATGCTTGGAATAATCTAGTACGGCTAGCAGGCTGGTGGGTGGACTTGAATGATATGCAGTGGACAGCGTCTGAGGATCACCAATCACGACTGGCCGTGCATGATGTCTGGGCCCAGCCCAGCCCCCAGAGGTCCGCCGTGGCCCCTCGGCCCACCAAGCGCCAGAAGAAAACCGATGACATCGCCCCCCCCCCCCGTCTTTCACATCCCTTTCACTCCGAGAGAGCAAGGGATAAAGGTCCTGGGCCATCAGATTACCTTCGATAACAATGCTTCGGTCGAAGTGGACAGGCGCATACGTGCCGCCTGGAGTGCTTTTGCTCGCCATAAGAAGCTGCTGACCACGAAGTGTGGCACCATCTCCAATAGGTTGAGATTGCTGCACAAAGTTGTCCTCCCCGCCCTGACCTACAACATCGGGGCCCGGCATCTTACTCAGGACCATCTTCGAAAAATTCGGGCCGTCCAGATTGCTATGGAAAGACGTGTTATTAAACGCAAGCTGCCCCCCCCACCCCCGAAAACGACCCGCCCGCCCCCGACTACGACGACGACGATGATGACGAACAATGACCAGATGAAGGCCCCCGAGGTTCCTGAGACAGGCCACGTGGACCCAGATAAGCTGGACGAGTTCGAGGATTTCGAGGAGGACTTCTTGGGGGGCCATCTGGCGTATGTCAACCGTCTGAGGGCCCACTATCTAGACAAGTTAGGTCTCCAGAGATGGGATATAGTCTGTTTGTGCCGTGTTTTCGACTGGTGTGGCCACGTGTGTAGGTTCCAGAAGTATGCCCCTGACAGGCTTGCACTCCTGGCCCTGCTGTGGAGGGGTCAACGCTATCTGGCGGACGTTTAAACACGTTTTGGCTCCCAGTGCCACGGCCACATTTTCAAATCTTGGAGATATGAGGACCAATTTAAGTTTCTGATCAGTCAAGATTATCAGGAATTAGCCTCCGACCCAGAGATGTGGCAGGACAGCCGCGCAGCCTGGTTGAAGAGGAGGCTCGGACGGTCGTCACGACGATGATCGCGCTCAGGCGCGCCCACGCCCGCCTCTCTTCCATCGCTGCTGTCTCTTTCACTTGCCCAGGTAGTTCTGCCATCCAGCGGGAGTTACACCTCCATTCAGGCTGAGTCGTATCGTATCGTATCCCCATCCCTTTCGAGACCCCCACCGAATTACCCCCCCAGTTGGGGGCGCACCCTTCGAAACCCGAAGGGAACGACCTGTATCCCCATCTAGGGGGGCAAATCTGCCAGTGGGGCCCACGCCACGCCGCTGGGGATGGGGATCGGGTGGACGATGCTCATCTTCTGCTCCCTCCGTTCCCTGCTCCCCGTCCTCCGGGTGCGTCCCCTCGTGCTCTCTGCTCCCCGTCTCCGGTGCGTCCCCCTTGCGTCCCCTCGTGCGTCCCTGGTGCTCCCTGCGCCCCCTCGTGCGTCCCCGGTGCTCCCCGTCCTCACGGCGTTCCCTGCTCCCTGCTCCCTCGTCTTCTGACGAACGAGGAACACGCACCCATACCCATAGGAGGGTCGGAAGGAGGAGGACTGGCTATGGGTATGGGTGCGAGTTGTCGGACCCTGGGGGAAGCTCCCGTTCGTGCGGGGACCCCCATCCGACCACGCGCACCCATAGCCCCCTCCGTCCCCCCTATGGGTATGGGTGCGTGTTCTTCGTTCGTCATCTTCTGCTCCCTCCTCCCGGTGCGCCCCCCGGAGGGTGCTGGCCCGCTAACCCTGGCCGCGCTGGCCCGCAGGCCCCTTCGGGGGGGCGGGATGCTCGCGGGGCGGAGCGGCCACGGCCCCGCGGGGCACTGCGCGCGTGCTTCGACAGCCCAGCTGACAGCTCCGCCTCCCTCCCCCCCCCGACTGCTCCCCTTCTGTCGGGCCTGTCCCTCTACAGGGGGCATATTTGGGACTAGTCAAAGAATATAGTAGGGGGACTATGTTTTGTGTGTGTGTTTTTGGGCCACTTTGCGGTACTTTTCGAGTACTTGTCATTTCTCGTCCAAAACCCCCCTGTAGGAGGAGAGGCCCGACTTAATGCTCTCCTGGGGGAAGGAAAGGTACGGATCTGCCGCTGCTCCTCGGGCTCGGGCCTCTCCCGGGGGGGGGGCTCGGCCCAGGACCCCGCGGCGGATCCGGCCGTGGCGACGAGGGCACTCCACGACCTGGGGCAGCGGCGCATCGGCACCTGTCCCTCCCCTGACTCTCCTCCTCTCTCCGGCGTCTCCCCCGGGCCCCTCGCAGGACGAGCGGCAGATGCAGGACGAGGGCGGCATCGACCCCGACCAGGTCGTGGCCCTCGCCGCCCAGAGGGGCGTCGACCTGCTCGACCACGAGATGGTCACGCTCCTGCGATTCTTCGACATGGGCGGCGAGGAGCCCAAGATCCTGGGGCCCGCGGTGCCACGAGACCGTTTCTCTATCCCCTGGCGTTAGGTCGGGCATGTCCCCCTACAGGTGGAGTTTGGGCGAGCAGAAATAAGATATTCAAAAGATATTCCAACATAGTCTAGAAATGCAACAACAAATCGTCCCCATAATATTTTTTTGGTCATTTTTGAATATTCCTCCTGTAGTGGGACAGGCCCGACTTAAACCCTGGCGACGACGGGCGTGACCAGGGGGGGCGGAGGGATGGGGGGGTCAGCAACCCTACGTTTCGCGCCGGCGCTGTTTGGGGATGCGTGGGAGTGGCTGATTCCCAGACGGCCGGCGCCAGCGCGAACAGTGACGCGGCCAGGGGGGGGGGGGCGGTCGCTGGGGGCATCGCGAATACAGTCGGACCGAGGTATAAGATCGATGTCGGTTTGGGGAGGGTGCCCTCATGTTCGTGTTTGCTGGATGTTCGTGTGCATGCTGGGGGAGGGCACCCTCGAATGTTCTTCAGTTTGGGCCGGCGGAGGGTCTCATGTTCTGGGTCCGACTGTAGCAGAACCACGGGCTCCGCTGGGCCGCCCAGACGGGGCCCGAGGAGGCGCGAGGCAGCCCGGGCGGGGCCAGAGCAGACGGGCCGGAGGGTCCAGGTCGCCATTGGGCGCTCCGATATTCGGGGGCCTGTGTCGGCGGCGAGCCCTGGGGGGGAAGTGAGGAGCGTGTTTCTTTATTGCTTGGGGCATAATGGGCATTATAGCCCCGGCCCCCCCCCCCTAATAACGTTACGCCCCTCCCCCCCAGTGCGCTCCGGGCACTGCCGCCGCGCGCACGGCGGGGGGGAGGCGTTACATTATACCCCCCTTTGGTCTTTCCCCCCCCACTATAATGCCCATTATCGCCGAAAATAAAGAAACGCGCTCGAGAAGGGGCGGGCCTTCTCAGAAGGCGCGGCTCGGAAGCCCGCCGGCCTTCCGAGATGTTTTCCAAGTCCTCCCCGAAACACACACAACACTTCTCAGAAGGCCGGAGGGCTTCTGAGAAGCCCCGCCGCCCTTTGAGAAGGCCTCCTCACTTCCCCCCATCGCTCGCCGCTGATTCATAGTACTGATACTGGCACTGCTTTTGTTGCCATTCACACCTCTGGTACGACTGATGGTCCACATAGGATGCACCTCGAGAATGCAGAAAATTACTGCTTGTGGTCCTCGCTGGCAAACACGGTTTGCTCCCAAGCCCCCCGAGGCCCCCCCAGCTCGCCGCCGACAGAAATTCGTTTGCTCCTCTTGGCCAGCAGGGCTCCGAAGACCCCCCCGGAGGCTTCCGGAGGCCCCTCGGGAGGCTCCGCTGCGGACCTCCTCGCAGACCCCCCTGGAGGCCTCGCCGCTCCTCCCGTGCTCCGGCGGTGCGGCGAGATCACAGGCCCGGCTCTCTCCCAGCGTCGCAGATGCCGAGGGCACTGCAGCCAACCCGTAAAATAATCGGTGGTGGACTGACCTCCTACCCTGACACGTCGATTGAGACCTATGACGTCGCGGCCGTCATTTTTGCGGGTCTAGGGCCGTCGGTTTCGGTCCTGGGCCGTTTTCACTACAGGGAGGTTTACTAAAGGGAGGTTTGCCCACCGCCGAAATAAGGATGCGCAGTAGAAATGCAAGAGTTTTGGCAGGCCATGGCGACACTTGGCGGGCGGGGCGCGGCCAGCGAAAGCGGCCAAGGATGGGCCGAAGGGGAAGGACGCAAGGGCAACCATGGAAAGTCGCTCATCCTCACTATGCGGGCTGACTGTAATGGAACAACACCATTCGGAGGTCCGCGCGGATTTCTCGGATTGGCGCCAGAGCCCCTTGGCGGCGCCTCCAGTGCCGATCCAAGGAATCAGCGCGGCTTTCCGTCTATATTTAAGTCGGGCCTGTCCCTCTACAGGAGGAATATTCAAAAATAGTCAAACAATAGTCAGGGGACGTTTTTGTTGAGCATTTTTTGCCTATTTTGGAATCTGTTTAGATTATCTTTTATTTTCAGTCCAAAATCCCCCTGGAGGGGGACACGCCCGACCGAAATGCAGATCGATGCCCCGTCCCCGTCTGCTCTGGCCCTGTCTGGGCTGCCTCCAGGTGCTGGAGGTGCAGAGGCAGATGGGCGTCGCGTGAGTGGCCTCCACGGCTGCCTCCCAACAAAGGTGCCCCTCCCACCCCACCCCAGTTCGGGTGTTGCTATAAGTACCCCTGGCCCAAGGTGCCCCCAGCTTTTCGCACTGGTTTTGAGCCCCTGGGGCCCCCCTGGGCCTCGTGAGGGGTGCCCTGGAGGCAGCCTGGGTCATCCCGAGAATCCTGGGGGTACCTTGGGCCAGGGGCACTTCTAGCAACACCCGACCAGTGTGTGCACATCCAGAATCCGGACGCGGTTCGCTCGGCATGTTTGGCCTGCGGGTCGCGGACGGAGTCTAATCCCGGCACAGTTCTGGCAGCGCGGTATCGTGCTTTTCCGGGGCTCCCTGCCGGCTATGTGTGACGCTCCAAAAGGGAGGCGCTGCTGCCTGCTCGTGCGCCCGTATGCAGTCGCACGGACGAGGACGCATCGCAGCTCGCAGCACAAGATCTCCTTGCCACGCATCCGTCCTGCACCAGCTGCGTCTTTTCCTGCTCCTGCTTCCATTTCGCCTTGTCGCTTCGGTTCCCGCGGTCCTTCCCCGTCGCCTTGTGTTGCCATGTGCACACGATGCTCTTTCTGTGAACCACCGCTTTCATCATGTGAGTGGAGGGCCCGACGGCTGAGAAGGGTCCTGCTGGCCCTGGATCCCCCCGACCTTTTCGATTGAAAACAGTCGATTGTAAACAGCTGCCCGTGTTCTCTGCCGACGGAGTTTACGAGCGCCTGGCCGGAGATTGCAGCTTCCTCTTGTCCAGCCTTCCCGAGGGACCTTCGCTTGGAGCTCGTCCACTTGCGCTGCCGCGCGAGGCCGCCACCGCGCCCGGGCGGCCGCCGGGTGAGTGCCTTCTTTGGGGCCTCTCGGGAGCCTCTCGGGGTCTCTTTCTTGGAGGCGAGGGACCTCTGCTTGGAGCTTATCTCTGTCTAATCTTGGGCCAGGGCTGGACCTGAACGCCGTCTTGCTGGACTTCGGCTGTGTTCTGTTTTTCGTTTTGGTAGGGGGGTACAGGAAAACGGGTCGAGCAACACGAAACACAAAACGACAACAAAACGACAAACAGCGTTTACGTCCAGCCCTGCTCTTGGGGTCTCTTTCTTGGAGGCGAAGGACCTCTGCTTGGAGCTTATCTTTGTCAAATCTTGGACTGCACGAGTCCAGCAGACCAGACGGTCCACGGAGCACCAGTCTGCAGGAATCGGGGATCTCGAAACGGTGACTTGATTTTCCAGACGTGAGCGGAAAATTTCTGGGCGGACATCCACAATAGAAATGAGTCAAGGTGATCCACAGCATCTTCTTCGATCGAGAGCAGCTGGGTAGACAGACCAAGAAGACCAGCACGACAGAGGAAGGAAAACAGCACGGCAGACCAGGACGACCAGCACGGCAGACCACACGGCAGACCAAGACGACACAGCACGGCAGACCAATATGACCATCACAGCAGACCAGCACACAGCACAAACCACATATCACATATATACAAACATACACACAAACCACAACACGCAACGTATTTCGCAAAAGGTACACGCACACGAACTGTCACAACAACACATCACACACAAATGTATGTATGGTATGTATGTATGCATGTGTGCATGCATGCATGCATGTATGTATGAATGTATGTATGCATGTTTGTATGGTTGTATGTATGTGTGTGTATGTATACATACCACGAAACGTACATACACAGGTCGGCCACGGAGATAAAACCATACACGCACGACATACGTGGAACAGTAATCATGCACACACCGTACGCCTCCCCCCTCGCTCGCCCAGTACACGCAGCACGTGCGTCGTACGCCCCCCCCATCCCCCCGCCCAGTATATTCTCGGTACGCGTACTGTACGCCTTTCCCCCATCACGCCCGCCCACTACACACTCGGCACGATCACCGCACACCCCCGACTCCCGCCCGACCACCACACACCCTGCAGACACACGCGCATAGCTGCACACACGCATTCACACGCATACACGCACACGCATACACACATACACGCACACATACGCGCACACACACGCCCACACACCCATACGCACGCACGCACGCACGCACGCAAACACAGACACAGGCACAGGCACAGACACAGACACAGACGCAGACACAGACACAGACACAGACACAGACGCAGACGCAGACGCAGACACAGACACAGACACAGGCACGGGCACAGGCACCGGCATAGACACAGACACAGGCACAGACACAGACTCAGCCACAGACACAGGCACAGACACAGACACAGGCACAGGCACAGGCACAGGCACAGACACAGGCACAGGCACAGACACAGGCACAGACACAGACTCAGCCACAGACACACGCTCACGCACACGCACACGCACAGTCGCACACGCACAGTCGCACACGCACAGTCGCACACGCACAGTCGCACACGCACAGTCGCACACGCACAGTCGCACACGCACACGCACACGCACACGCACACGCACACGCACACGCACACGCACGCGCACGCGCACGCGCACGCACGCACACGCACACGCACACACGCACACGCACACGCACACGCACATGCGCACACGCACACGCACACATGCGCACACGCACACGCACACGCACACGCGCACACGCACACGCACGCACACGCACACGCACACGCACACGCACACGCACACGCACACGCACACGCGCACGCGCACGCGCACGCGCACGCCCACGCACACGCACACGCACACGCACACGCACACGCACGCGCACGCGCACGCGCACGCACACGCGCACACGCACGCGCACGCGCACGCGCACACGCACACGCACACGCACACGCAAACGCACACGCACGCGCACGCGCACGCGCACGCGCACGCGCATGCGCTGGGCGTATGCACAGGCACGGACGCAGGCACAGGCACAGCCACAGACACAGGCACAGACACAGACACAGACACAGACACAGACACAGGCACAGGCACAGTCACAGTCACAGACACACACGCAGACGCAGACGCAGACGCAGACGTAGACGCAGACGTAGACGCAGACGCAAACACAGACACAGGCACAGGCCCAGGCACAGGCACAGGCTCACAGACGCACAGACGCACAGACGCACAGTCGCACAGACGCACAGACGCACAGACGCACAGCCGCGCAGACGCACAGACGCACAGACGCACACACGCACAGACGCACAGACGCACAGACGCACAGACGCGCAGACGCACAGGCGCACAGACGCACAGACGCACAGACGCACAGACGCACAGACGCACCGACGCACAGACGCGCAGACGCACCGACGCACAGACGCACCGACGCACAGACGCACAGACGCACAAACGCACAGATGCACAGACGCACAGACGCACAGACGCACAGACGCACAGACGCACAGACGCACAGACGCACAGACGCACAGACGCACAAACACATAGCGACACAGAGACACAGAGACACAGCGACACAGAGACACAGAGACACAGGACACAGCGACACAGAGACACAGAGACGCAGAGACACAGAGACACAGGCACAGAGGCACAGAGACACAGAGACACAGAGACACGGAGACACGGAGACACAGCGACACACAGACACACAGACACAGAGACACAGAGACAGAGACACAGAGGCACAGAGACACAGAGATTCAGCGACATATGAAAGAGCACGTTCTGTGGTCGCTTGGAGGGGGGCGGGGTGGAACCGGACCCCCCCCTCCCTGGATGGAGGGGGGGGCGGTTTTGAACCCCCCCTCCCCTTCCTGTGACGGAGGGGGGGGGGGTCGAAGTTCCCCCCCCCCTCCCCTACTTCTCCTTTGTCCCTCTCCTCGGCTGGCGGCGGCGGCGGCGGGGACGACGATTTCCTTTTCTGGGCCGGCGCCAGCGCTTGTGGCGGCGGGCGGCGGCGGCGGGGAGCGTCGACGAGGACGACTGGTGGTGGTGGTGGTGGTGGGTTGTGGTGGTGGTGGTGGCGATGGTGGTGGTGGCGGTGGTGGTGGTTGTAGTGGTGGTGGTGTGTTGGTTTGTTGTGGCGGTGGTGGTGGTGGTTGTGGTGGTGGGTGGGTGGGTGGTGGTGGTGGTGGTGTGGTGGTGTGGTGGTGGTGTGGTGGTGGTGTTTTGTGGTGGTGGTGGTGGTGGGTTGTGGTGGTGGTGGTGGTGGTGGTAGTGGTTTGGTGGTGGTGTGGTGGTGGGTTGTGCTGGTGGTGGTGGTGGTTTGTGGAAGTGGTGGTGGTGGTGGTGGTGGAAGTGGTGGTGGTGGTGTGGTGGGTGGTGGTATGGTGGTGGTGTTGTGTGGTGTGTGGTGGTGGTTGTGGGGTGGGTGGTGGTGGTGGTGGTGGGTTGAGGCGGTGGTGGTGGTGGTTGGTGGTGGTGGTGGTGGTGGTGGTGTGGTGGTAGTGGTATCGTCGCTGCGCCTCCGCCGTCGCCGGCGCCAGGGGGCAGGGGGGGGGTGGGTTGAACCCCCCCGCCCCCCCCCCTCGGCGCCAGGGCGGGGGGGGGGTTTGAACCCCCCGCCCCCCCCCCTGGGCTGCCTCTGGTCATCGTCGCTGCGTCCCCGCCGTCGGCGCTGCTGGCGGCCGCCGGCGCCGGCGCCGGAGGAGGGGGGGGGCTCGGGAGGGCGGAGGTTTGGGGGGGAGGGGCGCCGAGTGTAGGGGGGGGGGCCCAACCCCCTGGTCGAAACGCACCGCCGAATGCTCCCAAGGCAAGCGCCCGTGAAACGCGTTTTCCCCGACATAGACACACAGAGACACAGAGACACAGAGACACAGAGACAGAGACACATAGTGACACAGAGACACAGAGACACGGGGTCACAAAGAGACAGAGAGACAGAGACACAGCGACACAGCGACACAGCGCCACAGAGACACAGAGACACAGAGACACAGAGACACAGAGACAAAGAGGCACAGAGACACAGAGACACACAGAGACACGCAGAGAAACAGAGACACAGAGACACAGAGACACAGAAACACAGAGACATGGAGTCACAGAGACACAGAGACACAGACACACAGAGA